ACTTGAGGAAGATAAACCTCCTGGACCCACGTTGCTTTGGACTCCCAATAAGATCTTCCACCACCTTATTCCTTCACAAGCACCAAACACACACACTTTAAGGCCAAAAACTCACACAAGCGATCTAGGGTTTGCATGGGACGATTTAGAGATATGGAGGCTGATGGGAGGGAGGAAATGATCGGTTGATTTTTATCCGAAATTATCTAAACAAGAATCAAAGATCTCGTTAATAGGAGATCAACAATAAAAAGACAGTCAAAAACGGAGTCCGTATGTAGAATTTATGAATTTTAGACGATCATTAGCAGTGTAATCTTCTCAGATTGTTAAATTTAAGACCAGTCGAGAATTAGCCGATGGGATCAGAAGGAAAGTTGTAGATCTTGTCAATAGCTACGTGTGGATATAAAGTATCCATTTTCACCATCAATACAAGACTCACGTCCATCATCATCATTATCTTCATCATCAAACCACCCATCAACACCAACCCTAATACAATCCACATAAACTAAAATTTTACCATATATTCTATAAGCATAAAAAATAAAAGCATCATATTCCACATCATCTGAAATGGGATTAAGCCCTTCCATCAGGGAAATGCCTGGTTCACAGCAGTTTAACTTTTTACAATCTTCATGCATGAAACGTTCGAAAAAGGTCACACACTCAGAATAAGTCATAGAAGAAAAGTCAACATCATTGAACAAGGTTTTCACACCACCAGTGTAAGATAAAAGATTACGAGTAAATACTCCTTGGTAGTTGAGTTCCACCATCGCAAACAATCCATTAGGTTCTGATTGTGCCATTGCAGTGACTTCTTTGGTACTTCAACTCGATCACAAAAATGTTTCACAAACCCTAGCTCAGTTTCGTTTATTGTGAACAATGATGAATGAAGGTCGACAAGTGAAGATGATAGGTTTTAAGCATCATATATCATTTATTGACGTGACATATCTCACGTGTCATCGGATTAGCCAAAAAATAAATATTAATTGACATATATACAATGTCAACCGATAAAACCGTTTAAAATCGGGGAAAATTACTAAATTAACAGGTCAAATACGAGTTTAGTGGTCTAATGTGAAAAAAAACCTTTAGTGACCAAATTGTACAAATGTTATAACTTTAATGTGCTGCAATATCATTTTCCCGCAAATATATATAGCCTGCTGCCATAGAAATTGACTGAACATTGGCGTATGTTTGATTGTGAAAATGAGTTGGGTCTACACAAATATAAAAGAAGGGAGAGGTTTTATGTGCTTGTGTTTTTTCTTTTTTTTTATATGTAATGACATTATACTTTCAGTACTATAATCCCTTTTATTTGTAGACAGGATAGAGTATTATTCTTGGTGTCGCTTAAAAATAAAATTTAATAACTTTCATTAATATCTTTTTAGTAGAGTTACAAAGTATTTACGTCTTTCTGAGAAGAAAAAAAAACCTATAAAGCTAAGAGAAAGAAAATATTGTCATTTACTAAATAAATAAATATTTTAATAGATTTACAGCCAAACATTTTTCTTATTATAAAATAAATGATTTTAATATCATTACAGATAACAATTTCAAATCCTTTCAATTCCACATATCCTTTTTTGTAAAATATAAATCCCATAAATCCTATTTCTAAACTACTTTTTTTTATTAGGAAATTATAACTCTTAACCCCTTAGGAATGACACATTTTAAAAGACCTTAATACCACTAAACCAAAAGCATTTTGTTATATTTTTTAAATTCTTTAAGTTCGACTTGATTAAAACTAAAATTTAATAATTGATATACTTTCAAAATAAAAATTTTAATAAGAAAAAAATTAAAATATAGTATCACTTAGAAAAAAAAGTTATGGGATCTTGTTGGGGTGCAAAGTTATCCATGTATGACTTTGTAATGTGTTGACTTTTGTAGACCCACTTGCATGTGGTGTATTAGCCTTATGACACATGAGAGATAGAGAGTGAGAGAGAGACATGTAAACACCTCTATATAAGGTGGGTTCATACCACTTGTAGAGGTGTGCTTGAGAGATGTAAAAGTTGAGTGTGTAAGTGTGTGTTATTTATGTAGACTAGATCTAGATCCCTTTTTGTAACACAATACATAATCAATACATCTCTTGAACACCCAAATCACCATGTTCATTGTGCAATCTTTAATTCCGCATGCCAAACCATGTTCTTTAGTCACTACAATTGGTATCAGAACGGGTCTTCAAGATCAACGTGATTTTTGAAGAGCGATTCTCGGTTTGGAACATTTGTCACAATTGAAGCAATTTTGGTGAGTCTCTCTCTATGTCTCTCTTAATTTCATTGAAATCGTGCGTTGCGTTCTTGATTTGTGATCGTTTGACTCGTTGGATCAATTTTTTCTTGAAAAACCCCATTGATGATCCAATAATTTTTTTTGTTTAGATCAAGCCCAAACAAAATCAAAAATCAATTCTGTTACTATTCACATATTTTGAGCCCAAAATCAAAATTCATTTTGATACATTTTCAAAATCGATTACTGTTCATCAATTTTTTTTAAGCCCAAATATAATTGAATCTGATTTTAATAATGGAGCCCATTGATTCATCGAAGTTCAGTCGAATATATGTGTGTTCATCTTCATTTGCTTTTCCAGTTTGTATAATCTGAAATCGCAGTCACTTTTTTCTTGAGTTCTTGAGTCGTATTTTCTTCTCATCATTTTTATTGATCGATGAGTTTTGACTGTAGTGATGAAATTGTGAATTGGTTGTTTATCACGTCTTCAAATTACAAACCGATGAGGATCAAGTGAGTCAATTGTTTATAGTTTTGATAAAATTGATCAAGAAATTTGAAATTGTTGTGAAGAACATGTGAAGAACATGTGAAGAACAGTTAATGGAACACATTTTAATCTGAAATTGAACCTTGGAATTGTTAATTTCGAGTTTATGAATCTTTGACTTTAAAAAGTCAAACTGTGAAAGAGTTGGAATTCAAGTGATGAATCGGTGAATCATTTGATAAAATCGATAGATACAGGATATTTTGAGGTTGTGGGTTTCGAAATCAAGTTCAATCTGGGATTTAATTTTTGAAGTTGGATGGATCTTGTTCTTGATAACAAAAGATATGATGTAGATAGTTTGTAATGGAAGAGAAATCGATTTCGATGATTAGGAGGTCAGATTCGATTTTCGTGGATCGGTCTGTTTGATCAGAAAAGTTTTTGGGGCTAAAGAACGAATCTTGGATTTCATGATGTTAATTTGCTGTTGAATGAAAAGTGAAGAACGAAGAGTAAACAGTCAAATGATTACGGGTCGATTGACGAACAGATAGTAGATTAATTGGAGTCGTTCTTTGAAGGTTTGTCGATGTTTGCAAAAGAACGAATTGTGGAAGAAATCGTGATGACGAAGGATCCCTGTGATGGTCAATGGTTCATTCGTAAATGGCTATGCTTCGTTAAATCGATGACGATATTGGTTTCAATCAAACAGACGAAGTCTTGAGTTTTGATTGAAGGTTTGAAGGTCGTTACCAAGAGTCGATGGTCGATGGTCGATGCTCGATGGTGAATGATGTTCATCTGTTTGCTTCCTGTATCATATTGGGTTCGTGAATTGAAAAGGCAAATGATTGGAGTAATAAATGAACAGAAGGGGTAAACGAACGAAAGTTTTTTGGTTTGGGAAGAACTGAATGATTAAGAAGTTACTGTTCACGATTAAGCGTTTGTATCCCTTCGATTTCGTTAATCAGTGTCAAAAAGTTTTGTTATTTTGGAGATGAGGATTTCTAACGAAGTGATGAAGAATTCGTTAATATGGTGAAGATGCAGTTTCATACGAAGAGGAGAGAGAAAATGAGATGAAGGGGAGAGAGAGAAAAAGTTTCGTACGAAGAGGAGAGAGAAAGAAAAAGTTTCGTACGAACGGGAGATAGAAAGAAAAAGTTTCGTACGTTGACATGAAATTGGGGAAGAAACTCAGAATTTTCGAAAATGACCCCTGACCTTACGAAAGTTTGACACTTCGTACGAATACACAAAGTTTAGTATGTTTTGAATGAAAAAGCAGAATTTTCGTATTTGACCCCTGAAATTTCGACATTTTGGCAGCTCATACCCAAATTCGAATTTTGGGGTATACTTTTGAAAATTTGAAGATGTGGGCAGAATTGACGAAATTAGTCCCTGCAACTTTCGTAAGTTTGGCAGTTTTCGACCAATTTCGAAAAAGAACTGATTTTGCTGAGAAATTGAAGAAAATACATTTCAGGCCCCTGCAGTTTATGCGAATTGACGCTTTCTACCTAGCTTTGGAAAAGGGGGAGAGTTTTTGCATATTTGGCTGTTTTGGGCGCACTGGGTCACTGCAGAATTTTGAAATTGACAATTTCTACCCATTTTTGAGAAATTTTGTCAAAGGCGGTCCGTGAACGAAGCTAAAAATTGAATTTTTTTGGGTTTTCCGGATTGAAGCACAAAGTTTATGCCACATGTTAAGGGGGAGTTTTGACACGAAAAATTCCGAATAGAGCACGTTCTCTTTCCTTGGAGGTTTTATAATCAAATTTCGATTATAAAAAGGGGGAGAAATTTATATGGAAATTCGAACTTGAATTTTTCATATTACGCGGATTTGAAGACCGAAGTGATCTTGAATTTTTGAAGCTTACGAAATGATGCAATTGGAAGTTCGGAAGTGATTTATTTTCGAAATGGGTTTGGTTTTATTGAAGATTTTTGGGGTGTGTTTTATGCTCAACTTTTGGTGATCAATTTGGAGTTTGAGAAGCTCGTGATCATTCGTTGATGCTCGGTTTGTATGGTTTCACATCCTAGAGCCCAAATTGAAGAATCATGGAAGAATTGAAGATTGAAGTTCGTTTCGACATGTGTCACCCTTGAGGCTCGGATCGCGTAGTTGCTCGATTTTGGAAGATTTGAAGTGGGTCATCCATTCCTAACTTTGAGGGGAGAATGTTGGGGTGCAAAGTTATCCATGTATGACTTTGTAATGTGTTGACTTTTGTAGACCCACTTGCATGTGGTGTATTAGCCTTATGACACATGAGAGATAGAGAGTGAGAGAGAGACATGTAAACACCTCTATATAAGGTGGGTTCATACCACTTGTAGAGGTGTGCTTGAGAGATGTAAAAGTTGAGTGTGTAAGTGTGTGTTATTTATGTAGACTAGATCTAGATCCCTTTTTTGTAGCACAATACATAATCAATACATCTCTTGAACACCCAAATCACCATGTTTATTGTGCAATCTTTAATTCCGCATGCCAAACCATGTTCTTTAGTCACTACAGATCTTATAGTAAATACACAAACGAATCACATTGTAGTGTTTTGCATTTAGAAAAAAATGTCATTCTTTTTGCACTGTTGTAAAAGTCGTTAAGAGTTGTTAAAATGGTCAACTAATCAGTAGGTAGTATTTAGTGTAATACGAAATTAATTTTGGAAAAATTATATATATAAAAATATCATAAGTTTCTTAAAATTTATAACAAAATATGTGAATATCAATAATAAGTATAGGTTTAAAAAAAATCTTAAGTTTGACCGACAGAGTTTTCCAAGTTATCTGAGTTGGACCGATTTTCTCCAAGTTAGACTAGAGTTTGACTGAGTTGGACCCGAGTTTAACCGAGTAACAAAAATATTGACCGAGGTTCACCGAGTTTGAGTATTTTTTTGCAGATTCCTGATAAAGCATCTCGGGACATATCCGACTCCGAATACTCGACCAGGTAGGCCAATTTTACAATATAGCTTTTACGTAGACACATCTAAC